TGCACGCCAAAAGGATTTTCACAGCGTAGTACGTGCGTCAACGGTAACGAACTCTGCATCATGGCTTCATTGAAACCTAGAAGGAGGATGCCAAGTAGATGCTGCTCTTGTTGGTTGAAGATTTGGCGCGTCGTTCAGCAAGACATTCTACTTTTCCTCATAATAATCGGCGTGTTAGTCGGGTTTATTGTTGGGGCCGCCGCGAATCCTTCCGTCAATGACATCGTGGATCCCGAGAAGAAGGCGACGACCATAATGTTGATTGGTTTCCCTGGCGAACTCTTCATGAATATGTTGAAGTTATTGATTCTGCCTCTGATCGTGGCAAGTTTGATTTGCGCGCTTGCCACGTTGGATTCCAAGGCCACGGGAAAGATCGGAAGACGCACAGTTTTGTACTACCTTTCCACTACTCTTCTGGCTGTTATCCTTGGCATCGTTCTTGTAGTAAGCATTCGACCGGGTGAATCAGGGAACAAGCAGGCTAAGGAACAGAAAGAAATCAGTGGCCCGCATCGAAACTTGGATTCATTCCTCGATTTGATAAGGTAGTTACTTTTTAATCTGAACTTTATATGAGACAAATTTGTCCTCGGTTATAATTTTTTTTTTCTGAAAAGATTTATAAACAAACCGAAGATTGAACAAAAAAGAAACCGTGAAGTGGCAAGGATTGGATTTTGTTTTTTCAATCTTTGAAACTTTAAAGTCGTGTCACATTTTTAAAAGTATTCTCTACGATTGATCCACCAGCTATATGAGCCTAAAGCTGGTCAAAATAGAGAGTGAAAAGTAGAAAACGGCGTTTCTCAAGTTGGTAAAGAGAAGTCTGATTTAAGATTTTGAAAGAAAGAAACAAGCTTTTGTTTTCTTTTTTCTTTTTTGTAATGGTGCAATGTTTAAATTTCTATATCATGAATAATTTAAAAACGAAATACATTCGTCATGACATACTCTTTGTTTTGAAGTCAGCAAGGTCTTTAATCTTTGAAATATAAAATGAACACGAATCAATTCAACCAAAGCATTTAACGTAAGTTTTGACTATCATACAGTTTCGGTTATTTTTTAACTTTCAAGCATACTTTCAACATTGCTGTACCAATATTGCTGACCCAGGAGTTAACCATGATATAATAATTGAATTCATGTTTGCGTTTCTCGAAATTCTTTATTGAGGTCTCCCCCGGGAACCCTCGACATCATGCTGATTGACAGCTGTTATTTTCGTAGCTTTCCTACAGAGCGAAATGAAGAGACACACTGTTCATTACAAACAATCTCATAAACGCTCTCTATCACCGAAACTTTTTTTAATCGAAAATTTTCATCATATTTTTCGTGAATGGAAATAAACTTTGCTTTTCAAATTTTTGATTGGCTTGATATGAGAGGTAGCTCATAATTTTTCATGTTTTCCCTTTTTTTACGCAGTATCTGTGTTATCCCAACAGGAGAAATTCAAATTTCCCCTCGTTGTAACTCATGATGTTCTTGTATTTTGTCTTTTGATCTTCTCTCTTTCCGAATGTTTTTCAACTCAAACTTATAAACTGCATTTTAAATACGTTCATCTCATTGTAACGAGTTCGCTTTTTTGAAAGTTAAGGCAGCTGTGAAATAACAATAAAATAAGCCAAGCGAACAGACTTTTGACATTATAAAAGGAAACAAATAGTACCAATGGTACTTTTTCCATTCCTAGTTCTATTAATATGCTACGTGCAACGAATGCTCCGAACGAAATGACATAATGTTTTCCCAAGGAAAAAATTTTTTTCCAAACGAAATAGGTAAAGTTATGTAACCCTGAATTATTAATTTACCAGATTTCCGTTCACCGTTAGGAACACTTTGATGTGATAGCTGAGTTTAGGCGAAAATTTCCTCAGGATAATAGATTAATTCCTACGTTGAAATTTTGAATAGCTATCGTGTTAAGAGCAGGTAACTTTTTCATTAAAATTTCTTTGCGCGTGTTGGACACGTGTACATATTTCAGCCTATATGTCGAACGTGTGTTACGTGAATTAACCCAGGTAAGAAATCTTTCCTGACATGCTGACCCTGTGTTATTTTCCGGCTTCAGTGATGAAATTCTAGTACTGTTCCTCTTTATTTCTCACAATGTCAGCTCAGAGAATTTTGATACAGATCAGGACACCTATTGTTCGAATTGGACGACACAAAGTCCTGTTACCAATTAATCATAACTGTTGCAATTTCCGAAAACAATAATTACATTTAGCACAAATATCTACGGTAGAGACAATGTCGAAATAAAAAATTCCTCAAATATGGAAACTCCACAATATTTTTTAGGATAAGTGGTTGTTGCTATGGTTATTGTGATCAATTCTGTGATTGGTGGATTTGACTGAAAGGACTAAGTATGATTGGCTGCTTCAACCGTCCAATTACAGGTGTCCGATTACAGCCAACTGTCCGATTACAGCCAACTGTCCGATTACAGCCAACTGTCCGATTACAGCTTTACAGAATGATTAGTGAAAAATAAAGCAGTTAATGCACCAACCACATTTGAGGACATTATAATGGTTATGATTAAAACAATTCTTAGACTTGTTGGTTCCAAGTGCCCTTATTGCGAATACGATACTTTGTCTTTGCCCGTACGTTTAAAATTTGTCGGTCACAGCGTTTGCTGACTGCTATTTGAAAAAGAAGAAGAAAAAGTATAATAACAGAATGAATGTTACCTTTATCCACAGGAGCTGCTTCCCCAAGAACATAGTTGAGGCTACCTTCCGTCAGGTAAAAACTTGGGATTTGGGATCTTTCTACTTCATTCGCTGAGATTCACTCACATTCAAAACAGATAGCCATCGATCAGACGGTCAATCGGTCTGTCAGTCATTTATTGCGTCAGGGTAATTTAATATTATCAACTGAGTTGATAACGTAAATTGGCCACTGCAAAGAGTTTCAAAGCTGACGTTCCGAGCATTAGCCCTTTCGTCAGAGTGAATGGAAACGAAGGGCTAACGCTTGAAACGTCAGCTTTGAAACTCTTTACGAAGGCCAATTTATGTTATCAACTCAATTTATACTGCTAAATTACCCTGTTATAATCTCCCACCGACGCAGCACCACAGTTTCTTCAGAAACGTACCCTCAGTTAGTGCATCAGACAGGCAGACAATCACCAGTCAGTCGGTCAGCCGGTCAGTCTATCCATTTACCTTTCTGCCAGTGTGCCAATCTGCTACTCATTGATGCAGTCAGTCCGTCAGTCATTCAGCCAGTCCGTCTGACTTTCTGCCAATTAGCCAGAGTAAATTATTTGATTCGCCCACAATAACGTTGCGAGTTATCTTTCACCAGAAAAATACAAAGTACAAGTCGATTTCGGCAAAAATCGAGTCCTACAACAAGACGGTCGATGTGAGTACACTCGACCCAAGTGATAACATAACAGTGTACAACAACGGAACCCACAACTACACCACAATCACCAAAGTGATCTACCCAGCATCAGACACCATCCCGAATGGTCAGCGGATTGCTAACGAGGGAGGAATGAATGTTCTTGGTCTGGTGATGTTTTCAATTGTGTTTGGCATCGTTCTGGGAAGAATGGGTGAGAAAGGATTGCCCTTGAAAGCGTTCTTTGAGACTTTAAACGAAGTTGTGATGAAGATGGTGGCTCTGGTGATGTGGTATGTTGATCAATTCCAAACGAGACTCTTCGTGTAGCAATTTTAAAAATTTGTCAGACAATTTTCATCCATCCATTTTCTTCAAAGATGAGTTGATTTGAATGTCGCGTAGAATTCTGAAATGCAAATAAAACTTGGCAAATTATTTCCAGCCTGAATAAAACCGATATTATATCATTATATCTAATGATATTTAGAATCGTTGAGGGAATTCGTTTACCTAATCAGTGGCTCGTGGCCATCAGGACCAAGATTCGAAGATTCAGTATAATTTCGATCAAACCAGAAACCTTACTGTGCAATGTACAATAACAGTTACACTCCATCTGACCAATGAAATTTGTCTTAGCCCTTTAAATGAGTTAAAAAAAGATATTTTCCAGGTACTCGCCAATAGGGATTTGCAGCATGATCGCAGCTAAATTGGCGGCCATGACTGACATATTAGACGAGCTGAAGCTCTTAGGAATGTTTATGGTGACAGTCATCGTTGGATTGATGATCCACGCCCTGGTTGTGCTTCCAATTATTTTCTTCGCCATAACCCGTAAAAACCCATACAGGTTCATGAAGGGCCTGCGCGAGGCAATGGTGACAGCTTTCGGTACAGACTCGAGGTAAGTGATCAGCTCGTGAAACACAACGATACTTGAGTGACTTATTTAATCTTTGGTGCGTGGCAAGTAGTGTAACTGTAGAAATTGACTTTTGATTATTTGATTGTCTGGCGGAGTGGCTTATCGACTGAGTATCTCACCCGTAGTTGACATATTGAAATTCACCGATTGAATGACTCTGACCTATCGCTTGAAGTACTCACCAACCAGGTGGCAGCCGGGCTTAAGGGCTGACTGACAGACGAAATGACCGGATGTCTCACTAACAACTGGCTAGTTGACAGGAGAAATGAATGGATGTCTGACTAACAAGCTAGTTGACAGACGGAATGACTGGATGTTTGGCTAGCTGGCTAACTGACCGACGAAATGACTGGATGTTTGACTAACTAATCAGTTGACAGACGAAATTAGTGGATGTCTCACTAACTAGCCAAGTGATAGACAAAATGACTGGATGTCTGACTAACTAGCTAGGAGACCGACAAAATGACAGGATGACTGGCTAATTAGTTAGGTGACAGACAGAATGACTGGATGTCTGGCCAACTAGCCTGTTGACAGACGAAATGACAGACTGCCTGGCCGACAAATTAATAGCCTGACTGGCTGAAATTGACCGATTGACTTACTTTTCAGTGAGTTTTAACTCATTGAATGCTTAGATGCGGAGAAATTTTACTAACTTCTTGTTAATCTTTTGACTACCTTCCTTGCAGCTCTGCTACTTTACCAATTACCATACGCTGCGTTGAAGAAAAGAACGCTGTTGATCGACGTATAAGTCGCTTCGTTTTACCCCTTGGTGCAACCGTCAACATGGACGGAACAGCATTGTACGAAGGTGTCAGTGCCATTTGGATAGCGCAGCTGAACCGCATTCCACTCGCGCCAGGACAGATTGTCACAACTGTGTAAGTTAATGACTACGCAAAGGTTACGCATGCAGAACCTAGTCAGGCTAAGGACATGTTAGCCATGAAGGGCGTTTTGTGGTTGACTGGAATTTCGCTGCGTTTGGGTTGATAACGTTTCTTCTCTCTTCGCGGCCAAAAGTGTACAGAGACCAAACTTAGTGGGTACAGAGCCTTGTACATGGGTGGGGAGAACTTACCTATAAATGAAGTATATTATCACAATTTCCAATTTCTTTTTTCTATTCAGTCTACTTTTACAATTTCTATTCCACTTGCACTCGGACAGATTGTCACAACTGCGCAAGTTAAAAACCACCAGAAGACTGCTCGTCACACAAAGCTTCCTCATACAAGACTTAGTCGACCAAGATCATGTTAGCCGTAGAGAACTTTTTAAGATCGTCTTGGATATTGCGAGTTTGGAGTAGTAACACTCTTCACGGTACCGAACTTGATCCACCACTTGTAACATGTGCATGGGCTTGGGAAGTTACTCGACCATAATTTTTCTTTAGTCTCACAATTTCCATTTATTTTTAAATTTACCAGTATGACAGCTACTGCAGCAGCTATCGGGGCGGCTGGAATTCCATCAGCTGGTCTGGTTACCATGATAATTGTTCTTCAAGCTGTCAATCTACCAACAGAAGACATTGGACTTATTCTTGCTATCGATTGGTTCTTGTAAGTTCTATTTCTCCAATTATATATCATACAGGTGCAAGAGACGCACGTTATTATCTCTTAACAGGTGCACATGTTTTTTAACCCTTTAACTCCCAGAAGTGATTCACATTTATCTTCTCCCTACAATATCCATCCACTATCCAGAAAACTGGTATTGAGAATACTCAAATATATCAGGTAGAAGTTGTTATCTTGATTTAACACCAAATTCTAGCAACTAATTTACAAGGAAATGTGTAGCAGCTGGAGGGGAGAATTAACAATCAGATCCTGGGAGTTAAAGAGTTAATTTTTCATAGCGTGGATGAACAATTTAAACCTGTGAATAAAAATGTGAAAATTAAGAGCCCGGTGATATAAACGGGAATTTTGCCCCGTGAAGCATGATACCCCATAATCCTCAATACCTGTGTCGGGGCCAGCCGATATTTATCGCGGGAAGGGGGGGGGGGGTGAGTTTTAGTACAGAAAATTAAATTACTCTTAATTAAAAAAACAATGTTGTAACAATATATCATCTTTATGTGCCATAAGGGATCGTTTCCGCACATGTGTCAACGTCATGGGAGATGCACTGGGCTCTGGAATCGTGGATCACTTGTCTCGTGACGACATCATGTTTTCAGATCAGCTGGACGCAAACGAGGATACACCGCTGAAACATAACGGCGGCGCGCTGGACGGAGACGTTGACGAAGAGGACGAAGAGGATGACGACCCCATGAAAATGACGAGTGTTTAAAACCAAAATGGTTACAGCACCTTAAAGTTTCATTACATCAAATATTACAAGTAGTTTAGTTTGGTTTTGTTTGGCATAAGGAAAACTCACAATGTAGCAGTAACCGTGGCTTCAGCGAGCAGTTGTCGTAATCCCACTCTACATTTCAAGTTGCAGAGTCAGCTCAGATAATCGAATTACTCCCCGTAACTCTGTTTATCCAGAAACCAGTTGCCCCGCTCAGGGCGAAGGGTGTACAGTCCCCATACCGCCCTAAAGATCGCAGTTCCTAATTATGTCCCCAGGAACCCTCTCATTTCACACGTATGAAGCCCTTTTGTAAATACAACTATTGCACGCTCTTAGACTTTATACTGGCAATCAGTACCAGAGGCAGCAATTATTAAAATGCAGTCAGTGAATCTATACACTGAAGTAAATGTAGCTTATGCCAGATGGTTCGAAGTGACCACATCAAAGTGCAGGTTGATAAGTATTAAGAAAAATTGGATGCTCAAAGCTAATATAAATGAGAGCACATATCTTTCAAAAGATAGCATCTTGATGCAACAATGAGCCTGCTTGACCGGTGGATTTGTCAACGCTTTGAGTCATAGGCGGAGCTAGTTTCTGGCCCCTTATTTGGCCTCAAACCTATTCCCTTCAAAACTTTAAAGTGCAGTCGAAACCAACTGGAATTTCCACCACTTATTTCCTTGTTTTCTCTGAAATGTATGTTTATTTGCGCTTTAGAGAATAAAATTTAAGCTTTGAAGTAAACGAAGTCAGAATTCGTTCATCATTCTAATTACATTTTTTACAAATTTGTCAGAAAAGCGCTGAATAATCTCGATCCCGGTATTCAATTTCTTTCAGGCATCTTGAATTTGTTTAAGGGAACAAGAGGGGTAGTCGCTTAACCCTTTAACTCCCACGAGTGACCAAGACAGAATTTCTCCTTACAATACCAATACAATATCAACCAGATAAGTGATGAGAATAAAGAAAAACATCAATTGGGGGATAATTAGTTGATCCAATACTAAATTCTCTGAACTAACATTATAAAAATTGTATGGCTGATAGCGTCCGCTGATACATAACATCCTTTGTCCTTGGGTATGGTAACAGAAATGATATGCAATTTCTGTCAGATCCCAGAAAACATGATATCTCCAAAAATAGGCTGGAATGTTCCTTGCCATGCAAGGGTTGACCAGGCCTGCACAAGCTGCAGGGAGAGTCCTGGGCTGTAGCGCTGGTATACGATTAGATAACATTTTTACACAGCAGCAGGCGAAAAACCATAAAGAAAGTTGTGGACAAAACATTGGAGACAGCTTGCAAGATAAAGCAGAACAAGTACAATGTACAATAAAACAGTATAACATTTTTGGAAAACATAAGCAATCAATCAAATTGTTTATAATTTTTTATGTTTCAGACCAAAATAATTTGTTATTCATCCCATTTATGATTTTCATGTTACAAATGTGTCTACTAGACCAAATGATAAAGCCAGTTGGGCAATCCATATGGCATCAAGTCAACTAGATATTTAGCTAGCCATAACAGTTACCCATCCAGTTGATGGAACAATGATCCTTTCCTAAGAAGAGTAAACGAGTGAAGTGATTCCTTCAATAAAAGTCTTATAGAGCATGATACAAGTGGTAACATCGTAGACAGCCACATTTGTCTTGAACAGTCCAAAAACCTGCCAGAAATACACATTTCTAGGATTTCAGACTTTTACAAGTCCCATGACTGAGTAATGTGATAACTAGACATCTGGAATAGGCAACTATACCCTACCAAGTGTTCCACACGGAACAACCACTGTAAAGTGTTTAAAAGCTGACGTTTCTAGTGTTGCTTATTTATAGACAAAATCATATGTTTTTTTGCAGAATTTCTGGGCCACATTCATTTGAATTGCATTCTAGTAAGATTTTTGGCTTGTTTTTCTCAGAATATAATTAAGATACAATGTTTCTTCGTAAAGCATTACATGCTATTGACTCCAGGATAAAAAAGGGAAAAAAGCAACAGTCATTCTCATCTTTTCTGTTTCTGCATTTTGTTCCGATATGTGGACTGTGTTGTACACTTTTAGCGCTGTTTAAAGTACAGTTTGTTAATTTGTCGAAGTCAATGGCATGACTTATTTACTTAAATTTAAAGGTGTTTGATACCCAAGATTTATATACTGTTTTTTATCCATACAACACATTTTTTTAGGTGAATTATGTGGCAATAGTTACTCGTGTTCTGGTCCATATGCGAGACAGATGTAAGTTATTTTGCTTAGAATAAGTAATTGTGTGACTTACATTGCATCTAAATGTAAGAAAATTGATTTAGCATGTGAAAGGCTCACCCATCTTGATATCACTGTTGGGCATCTTTGCTGTGTGAGGGGGGGGGGGGCATTCGGATTTTCGGTTTTGCAGTTTTGGCTATTTTTTTGGATCGGTTTTTCGATTTTTTGTGCCAAAAAACTTCAGTTTCTCGGTTTTGGTGTGCATTGCGGTTTGCGGATTTTCCGTTTTCCCTAAGGTGGGAGGCAAGGGAGGGTACGGCTACTCGTAGGGTACTGCTAAGCACGGGACATTGCCAGAGTTTCTTCATCAACGCCACCCCGAAGTTGGTGACCAAGTCACAGGCCACACGTGACTGATTGAGTCAACATTCCAATAGAATCTCCAAACTTTCAGGTCTTAGTTCGTAAATGGAAATGTTAGATTACGGATTTTTGATGAAACTTTCCAGAGCTATAGCTTTTTGCGACTGCAAAATTGCAATCCTATAGAGGACTTTTGTGTGAATTTCCTTAATCTAACAAGGCTCCATTATCAGCTGCTGGGTTCGCAGAGACCACGCTCGAGGTCCTCGAGAGAGCAGCTGTTAATTTAAGCAGATACTAGAAGATACGAATGCCAAGTCCATGGCATTCATAAAACCTGTAATGAAATTAGTGTAGTTTATTCTGTATACTCCACTTGTCACCACTGTATCGGATCGATCAGGGTTTTAATAAATGGGATGTGAAAATGTATCGGTTTTGATCGAATTTTTTTTCGGTTTTGGGTGATTTTTTCTACGGTTTTGCGGTTTCTAATAGGCCTCAATGCCCCCCTCCTGTGTGGACCGTTATTCCTTCTGTTCAGTGCAACTCTATAAAAGGAGCTAAGACAATATTAGTTTTGCATGCTCAATGCAGACACTAGTTTAATGTAGCATTTTAATTTGGGTAAATAATCATAGATATTTTCCAGGTTTCTTTTTTGGTTTTTTATTTTTATCATTTCCTTTTCAATTGCTGGAATCCCAGTGGAAGCCAGAAACCATCTGCAAAGTGGAAGGTATCATATTCCTCAGTTTCAGGAGCCAGAAGGTCCGGCCAAGGATATCATCAGGACGTTCAAAACTGCTAAAGGTAGTGTGTTTGGGGCCTTAACCCTTTAACCTGTGAGAGTGACCAGCATCTAAATTCTCCCTACAATATCACTGCTGAATCACACATTAAGGTTATGAGAATAAAACAAATGGTCACCAGGGATGCAACCTTTTGATTGGCAGACAAATTCTCCTTTTCAGCACCTGAGGAAATGTGTAACGAACAGTGTGGAGAATATGCATACTGATGTCAGGGTGAAAAGGGTTTACGAAAAAAAAAAAGTAATCGTTCGAGTCGAAAGGGAGAAAAGACCTTCAAAGCTGGAAACCAAATACTAGTCCTCCAAAAGGTATATATGTTTTTATTTCAGAGAAAAGTTTATGCGCGTACAGATGCGTGCAAGGCCTTGCATACGTGGAATTTCAGAGGCGTGAATCAAACTTTAAGTAAAGCGAAAGAGAGGTTTACTCAAGGTTGTTGAGTTGGAGAAAAGACAAAGGTTCGGACGCAACTTAGGGCGCTCTTTATTTCGTGCTGTGCATTTTTGGGATGAAAGAGTTGGCTGAAAAATTCTGTTTGAGAGGTCACGATTCCTGCGCCAACTGAATGTACGTCCGTCATTTATTCGCGTTGTTAGCTCAGCTTTGCTCCTTTTTAATCCGATGAGATAGAAGTTATGACTAGTTCGGAATCTCCATCAAGCGACATAACAGATTAGTTCAGATTGAATGGAAATGAAATAAAACTCTCATTTTTCAAGACGTTAGAATCACTGAAGTTTGAAGAATTCATGTATTCGACTGTAATAACTGAGCCTACAGTTGTATAGGACTCTTTTGATTAAGCTTAATGAAATTGTAAACCAATAGGATACCCGTGATTAAATACGCTTCGTGTTTGGAAAGTCCCAAGTTTTCCTGTAGCCCATTTTTGTTTCTCTTACAGGTTTCTTTGAATGTTTTGAATTTTCTTCCTATACTTTGCATGACAGATGTTGTTTCATAAATTTACTCTTGAAATTTTGCGAAGGAAAATGGCGAAATTCAAGGACTCCCAGCTGCAGCAGTAGATATCAGTACGGTTGCACTTGTCACGTTGGACACAATCACAAGGTCATTTCGGGAACACCGTAACCGGTCGGTAGTAGGGACCTTAAGCAAGTCACGACGGCGACGGCAATGAGGACATGGAAAACAAAAGTTTTAATTGGCAGAACAATAGCTCAGCGCTTGCGTTTTAAAAGTTTGTACATTTCTTAGCCGTCCTTTGCAAAACAACAACGTGAAATCACCACAATTTGCGTCGTCTGCGAAACGAAACCGCGACGGCAAATTATTTTAATTTCCATTCGGAACTCAACGCTTCTTTTATACGTTATGCTGAAGTTGAGGTGTGGCGCCGCATAAGACGGTAAATATGTGCAGCCATTTGTTTGTTTTAATCCGAAGTTAATGCGGGTGTCAACGTCATTGCGTGACCTAAAACGGTGATGCAGAGAAAACTGAAATAAACAAAATATTAATTTTTAATTACACGAAAGCCTCGCGTTAAAGATTGTAAATTTTGAATGAATGATTTACGACTTTAAGTTTGAAATTTTTTGCGTCTGTTCATTTGGCTTCAAATGGACTATATATTATTCAGCATGGTGCGGCACTTCAGTCGTAAGGCGTGCAGCGATTGGGCGAACACATATGTCGTCCACTCAAGCTAACAAAGAAAAAAGGAAAATAAAAGAAAGGATTATGGCGCTGGCATTATGCCTGTGTTTAATAGGCGGATTGATTAGCATTTAAAGGATAAGCTTCATGCGCCGATTGTGACAACATCGAGACACTGTGAGGAATTGAACGGGAACTTTACCATAGAAGTTGGTTTCAACAGCAAATTATTTTTCTAGCGACACTGAAATGTCTTCACTCGAGTTCCCGAGGTAAGTACGTGTGCTTATTTTATCTTTGCTTGAATTGATACTGTCATCTACCGGCAAAGTGATCTTGGTATTTTGCAAAACTACCACAGACACAAGCATTGGTGCATTTAGAATGAGCGTCCGAACAAACAATTAAAACGTAACCTCGTGCGTGAATTTTAAGACCAGCTTTGGAAATATGTGAAAGGCTCTTTGTTGGATCTGGAGATGATGAGTTTCTATTAGGCTAGAAGTCTTTTCATTTTCGATACAAAGCTTGATGTCTCGGGAAAAACGCCCCTGAAATTATTCCGTGCGATGATAGCTTTGTACGTCTGACTGATTCATTAGTGATCACTAATTTAGATGCGCTGTCCTTTGTCTTAATTTTAGATAGTTGTTGTGACTGACTACTGTCGCCTCAAATTAT